CCCTCCCGCGTGCCCCGCCCCCGAGCGTGGCCACGCCCCCGCCTCGTCCCTAGCGCCAGTCTCTCTCCGAGCCGGATCCTCGCGGGAGCCCGAGACACCGGAGGACCGCGGGACAGAAGGGAGGGAAGCGAGCCGGAGCGCGGGACTAGCGCACCCAGTCGGTCTCCTTCCTTCGTCCTCCGTTAGGGCGACCGGGCTGAGCTTTGCTATACTAAGCACCTGCTCCACGCCTGGCCGCCGCAGGCACAGAGGCAGTCGAGGCGGACGGAAGGACGGGAAGAAATACAGTGCTTCGTGGTGTAGTAAAAATGAGACTTTTACTCGGATACAGGAACGCACATTTCAAAAGCTGATGATTGTCAAGCTGACCTAAAAAACATTTTTATGAGAATGCAAAAATAGTTTTAAAAACTGACCATTTATAACTACTACAAACTGGATTTCGTTTTAAACAGCTTTTCATTAATAAGCAAAGTATATGATTATGATCTTGAATTAGTTCTTTTTACCATGTGCTGGAAGAAAAGTTCACAGAGCACTGTTACAAGCAAGCAACCCGAAAGAGGACAAATGTGCTGTAATTTAACTGAAACCATCTAGTACTGCAATGAGAAATAACCGTATCCTAGATTTAGTTGTGCCGAAATGTGGCATTGCCAGCGTTTTGGACTCTCTTCAGTAGTCACAAAGGGAAGTACTACTTTGGGATTGTAGGGAGCCTTGAGACTAAACAAAAAACTCAGAATGGCTGGAAATGTCTTAAGACGTGGAAAAATGTTATTTACATATAATCAGTATGCAGCAATTTTACACATCTTTTTAAAAAATGAACATTTAGGAATAAACACATTAAGACCAAGGCGCTAGGGAGTAAGAGCTTAGGAAACGGTATTCATTAACGAGAAAGAAAGTAGGAGACTACCAGTACGGTATCTTACAACAGGAAGACTCCTGTGAGTTGCTCTTACACAATGAGTCACAGCAAGAAGCTATCTGGGCATCATCTTTAGTCCTTTCGTTAAAAAATTTGTCATTTGACCAGTAAAATATTCAATTTAATTTCTTGATTATAAAGAAAACTTTTCTGGAAATTAAAAAATTTTTATAGAGTAGTGCTAATACATTTGGCTACGATTTAAATTCTGCATACAGTTCATAGAGATCAATTTTGTAAGAATGTTTTTAAACCAATGCTTATTCCATGCAATTACAAAAAAATTAGGCCAAGCACTTCAAAAATGAAAAGGCAAATATATGTTAAAATTATGAAACCAGGAGATTCCATTATGAAAGGCTGTCCATACAAGCTCACGATACTGACAGAAATTAACCCTAGCACAATAAATTATAAATTGAAAGCTTAAATTCATCACAAACTGTCAAAAATATTTTGCATAAAATTTTGCACTTCAGACTTTTTATATTTATCATGTTTCTTGAGGATACACTATACCCAGTAAGAAACTTCTATGAAATGAAAATTGGGGACTGAAAATTAGTTTATGCGTTTCATTAAAGCTTCAATGTCTAACCCCATGCACCTAAAATTAACAGTTTATTAGGGTTTCTTCCCTTTCTCATCTGTACTAAGATGGTAAGGGAGATCTGTAATTTCAAATTAAAGTACACTGCAAAAGAGAAATGGACACACTGTAGTTTAGAATATTCTGGCTGAAACAAGCATGCAGCCACAAATATTTCAGGTAATCTAAATACTTGGTCCATCCGTATAAACAAAAAATATGCATTAGTCTTTATGAAAAAGAAATAGAAACCTCCAGGTTTCTACATTTTACTTTTTCATATTTACACATGCAAATCATGTATAGTCACAGATCTTTAAACTGGGAAAACAACTTGCTTGTAACAATTTATTTTTCCAATAGCATCTTACTGTTAAAAAGTACTGGCAACACATTCATTTAATCTGTCAATCTTAATGTCAACAAATACTTTATTAACAAACCAAACCCTACTGCAAATAAATTCTCCATAGTACAACGACCAAATTTTCTATTCCTAGCAAAGGCCACAAATAGACCAGATATGCTGTCATTAGTTTCATAAGATTATAGTAAATTTGCTTGGTGTTTAAGTTCTAACTTTTAAGGTGCTGTAGAGAAACATAGGATTTTATATCATCTAAAAATATGACCAATTTGATCTTAAGCAATATTTTTGATTAAAACTAAGTCGGCTGAATTTTTGCTGCTACATGAAGTGATTGATAGTGACATTCACAGCTTTCTTAGAAAAATATATTATCCCTGAATTAGTCAATACCAACTGATCATTCAGTACAAATCCCAATGCCATAAACAAAATAAGACATTAATGAATTTTCTCCAACTGCCTATTTCCAACACTGTATTCCAGAACGAACATCCCCAGCATCATATCCCCTGGTCCTTTTGGTTTCAACGTTTGGGGATGTGAATCACAGGACAAAAGTTTTTGTTCCACCCAAGTCAGATAGGCTCACCGGCACTTCCTTGGGAAATGCGCCCTGTGTTTTCCCCTCCAATTTCTGTATTGACACGGTGGTCTGAGAACCCTTAAAATTAGTATCAGGTTGAGCTTCTGAAATTGTAGTCCTTAAAAGTTTTTCCTGCATATCCTATCCACTTCCCATTCTATTCCTCTAATCAAGACATTTCCTCCAGGCCTTTGCTTTCTGGAAGGGAAGGGAACAGCAACCTTAGGACAGGCCCTGTCTTTTCTCTCCACCTGACGACAGGCGCACAGCCCGCCTCCTCAGAACGCCCTGTGCTGTGAGCTCACTGGGAGAGGAAGCCTTGACCACTGACTGCAGCATGGCTTTTAGAAGGTTCCTCCAGGGCGGCCAACAAGGGTTCGCTTCAGGGCAAGGTGCAGAAGCAACTGCCACTCTCCTTGAGGCCCCTCGCTTCCACTCACCACTACGTGCCCGGTCACTATTGTGCTTTTTCCTTCCGGGTTCTGAACCGCCTTAGAAAAACCATTTTGCTACTAACATCTTCTAGCTCTTTTTCACTTTCAGAATTTATGGTCGCATCATCCTCTTTATAAACATTCAGTAATTTTTTCTTAGCCGCAGCAGAAGCGTTTCGATGGGGCAGTTTTCTGCTACTCTTCCTAATCCAAACATTTTCTGGTCCTGAAACCGTCTGTTTTAGGTTACTCATTATCTTTATCTTATTTGCAGCAACAGTAGCACATCTGCGGGGAATTTTCTCAGGTACCACCTTTGCTTTCAGAGTTTCACTAGGCATTTGCACTGCATCCTTCTGATTATGCACACATGTTCTCATTTTTGTATTGGGTTCTCTGTCTCTAGGAACAGATTCTGAAAAACGAGCGAAAGTTCATGTAAATGCAAAAAATCTCGTCACAAGATTTTACTAAACATTCCTCAACAACACATTCCTAAACATGAATTTTAAGACTCACGTTGCCTAAGCAGTTTAAAAACATGTGCTTCTGATAGACACCTTACGTAAGTCCAAGGGGATAATTGTCACAACACAGAACCTCACTTGCAAGAATGAAAAGTATCTTCGGCATCCTAAACTACTCACTCAAAAGTCAACATCTAGATTTTGAAAATGGAATCGTGTTTTAAATTTTCGGCATCATTTCTCATTCTCCATTACACTACAAAGTCTTTAATACACGCTGGGCACGGTGGCGCATGCCTGTAACCCCAGCTCTGGGGTTGGGGGAGGCTGAGGCAGACAGATTGCTGTGAGTTCGAAGCCAATGTAAACTACACAGTGAGTTTAAATTCAGCCTGAACTAACAGCAACGCCCTTTGTCAAAAAACAAGACAAAACAAAAATTTAATAAGTTCCAAAGGCTGGGGATTTGGCTCATTGGTTCTGCTGCCTGCCTCACAAGTACAAAGGCCTGAGTTCGATCCCTGGTAGGTACCAAAAAAAAAGAATTAATACAAGTTCTGAAGTCACCTTCCTGGGACTTAAACAGGAGAAGAGCTGCAAGGTTATATGTGGACATAGCACCAACTCTGGCTGCAAGAGGACCTGCAGCTGGACTTAGAAGACCAGTATTTCCTTTACTCAAGAAATTGTCAGGTTGGTAAATGGCAGAAGTACACATGGATTTTATGTAACTGAAACATGGCTTTCATCCCGATGTATTTTTTTCAAATGGAACAGCGTATAGAACTAGAATTATTAAATCTTATCCAACTGTTTTCTGAGCTAGGCACTGCCAGACTCTGCTCATGACAATGACCCTAAAATTAGTGACCCTCATACATGTAGTTTCTGTATGGAACTTGCCAGCACAAGGCACTGTGAACCCACCTACCCCGGCCAACGGGGCCAGAGCTCCTCTGAGGAAGGGACAGTTTAGATGGGCTGAGGCTCCAGAGGGATGTGCCAGGCCAAAGGTGAGGCACAAAGAGCCATGCAGAGGCACCCAGGTTACCAACCAAGCTCCAGGCCAGATTTTGTTGTTGTTGTTGCTGTTGCTTTTGAGACAGAGTCTCCCTATATATATAGTTGAGACTGACCTGGAACTATGCAGCCCAGGCTGGTCTCGACTCGCAGTGATCCTCCTGCCTCAGCCTCCCGAGAACTGGGATTATAGGGGTGCACCACCACACCCAGCTTCCAAACCAGATTTTTCAAACCCAAGTGCAGTGCTTGGTTCCTGCAGAGGCATTTCTTTGCTGTATCTGATGCTCTTTAGACTCTGCCGTTAGGTTTCTTTTGCTAACGCTATGACTGCCATGCTTTTCCAGGGATGTTTCTAAGGATATCCGTGGTGTTCTCCCGAGTAGTCAGCAGGCACTGGGCAGCGGGCCGGCAGCCTGCCGTAGTGACCGATGAGCTGGGAGCCCTGCAGCAAGCCCTTCCCACCTTCCCTAGCTGGACTCTCTGGCAGGGGAAGCCCTTAAAATGCAGTGCTTTTACCCCTTTGAGGAGTTCGAGATTATTAAATTATGAGCTATCTATGACCAACCCACCCTGTATATGAAATGAGTCTTTAATGCATCAAATCAACATTAGCTAAATGCTGGAATATGGTACAAAAGGTTAACGGAGTTTTTAATGTGTTGAAATTAAATGCTTTCGTTATGGGTTGTCCGACCGCACTTTTCTCATGTTGAAAAAAATCAGAAAACTGGTCCATCACCAATATATCCGATTTTGTAGTACAAAACCTATTTTAACTAAGTCTCTCTGCAACAAAATGATTTAAGTTGTAGCCATTCTGAAGCACGAGGGAAGTACTTAACACTGGCAATTCAGGACCCAGTAAATACTAAGGCATTTTAATGATTATTTCTAATCCAAAAAAGGGGAAAAGTTAAGTTCTGTGGGGAGAGCTAAAATTAGGTTTTTCAAAGTATGTTTTACAAGCTGAACTACATTCAAAGTGAGAACTTAATTATACTGTAATACAGCATCCCCAACTTGATAAAGCTTTCTCTAAAGTCTGAGTTGCTAAAATGGGAATATCACAGAATAAACACGTAACTTGTAGAAGTGACCAGATGGGAAATTCTTTTTAAAAATACGTACTTTGTAAGTCAGTGTTAACTAGGAACTTGGTAAATTATACTAAAGTGCTTCATTATCCTTGAGCAGTTTTCAGTGATGTACACAGAATGTGGGGTTGGTTAAAGTCGTCTCACTGTTAGGCTACAAACATAAGCACTGGGAGGAATGCTGCTCTAACAGTGCATTGCAGGCAGCGAAATTTAATACCAAGTTGGTACAACCCCGGCCTCCTGCTCCCCTCGGGGTTTGGAGTCCCTCTCGGCTGCACGCCTGGGCACAGCGCCCTCTGTGGGTCAGGGCTGTAATACCTACAAGAGCATCTGCAGAGGCACCCGCCCCTGCCTTACTCAGCTGACTGGTTTGTCACACAGCTGTGTACTGTCTAGGAGGCTCTGTGGTGAAGAGAAAGTAGGATACTGACATAAAAGCCCTGATTCACAGCATCAACCGCCACTCCCCACATTTTGAGTATTATTTATACCCTATAGATTATGCAAAAGTATTCTAAATACAAAACAAACACATCACTACTGTGGAAACAGTAAAATATTTAATCTGACCAGCATTTTTAAATTGGAGAATTTAAAACAATTGATGAGAAAAATGTCCAATTCAAAATGAAAGTATATCAGCCCGTGCCAAGTACTTTCTGGAACACTGACATCATTGGTTGTTGATTCATGGAAACCTCGAATCCAGTGTGAACCTTCGGCTGCCGTCAGAGCCTCCCTGCCCCCGTTAGAACCTGCTCTCACAAGCTCCCCTCCGCCGGTAAGCGAAGAGAAGATCCAAATTCCGAAAGCAACGGCATTCACGCACAATCTTTATCTTTCCAAAGTAGTTTCCAATGATCCCACAAGGTGAAGTCTCTTTAGAGAACATGCGTAGAATGCGGAGTTTCCCGGAACTCCCTGGGCTTTCGCACACCGTTTTCTAGGGAAGGGGCAACAACTGCAGTCTAACTTCTACCGCGCGGGTGCGACAGCACCAGGCCAGGGGCACGGAGTTCAGCCGGGGACCTCAACTGCCTCTCTACTGATTGCTGGGGATCACCTTCCACAGGGGTGGGCACCACTCCATTTTGCTCCCTTGAAGCTACAGCTAATCTAGTTCATTACAATGACATCTTCTCTGATTTTCCCCACCCCAGGGATAGAACTCTGGATTTTGTACTTGAGAAGCAGGCGCGCACCGCCACGGAGCTAAATCCCTGGCCCTTCTGATTTTCTTACTAAGTCATTCTTACAATTCCCCAAATATTTTTAACATTGTAATTATCAAAACTAGTGGAAAGTATGAGTTTAGGGACCTCACATGTATCTGCTTAATGTAATGCTGAGGGCTGTGTGGTCTTAACTTTCTCAGAGAAATATTTCTGCACTTCAAAATAAATGGAGACAGGATAAAGTATCAGAAGTAAATAGTGGATTTTCAGTCCGCCCGATTACCTCACTAAAGAAAGACGCAGGGCTGCACAGCAAACCGCTTGAGGCCTGGCTCCTAACTGGACAGCACCTAATCAGCACCCACAGCCTGCAGGCCATCTGCATGAGAGGAAATCGCAGATGGACAAAGGGTGGGAAACGTGGACCAGGGCCCTGTCAAACTTGGAGATTCTTTTTTTTAAAAAGGCTTTTGCTTGTTACAACAGCAACATATATTATTTTTTTCTATTTTAGTTAGCAAAAACTGAAAACTGGTTCCTAGACAGATGAGTCACAGAACATTAAAAATCTTAGCAGAAGTATGAGGATTCGTTTTGATGAGAATTCCATGGGTGAACTGGATGAGATTGTACAGTCAGCCTAAGGGCTGATCCAGACTCAGAAAACGTCAATATATTAAAAATAAAGATTCCTCTAACTTCCAAGCACTCATGAAAAATGGTAATTTCTAAGCTATTTACCTTGTGGGACCAAGGGATGAGGCTGCTACAGAGCCTCACCTCCTCATCTTCTTTCTGCTCAGTCAGCTAGAGCACTTCTTCTTTGGCAACCCAAATTCCCGGCTAAAGATTTTAATGAATGATGAAACTTACCTTAAAATTGACTTAATTCAAGTAGGACCAGGAAGTACACATGAGTGACAGTATCGGCCTTGCAAACTCAAGAAGATGCACAATCGACAGCTATCTACACACATGCTGTCCAAGACAAAGGCTGCAGATCTGTGGGGTCCAAATTACTAGGTGATCCAGCCACCGCCCCCCAACTCTAGGAAAGCAACTCTGGAAGGAGACATCAATTAAGACTAGCCATATTCTTCCTCAGTGTGACAATATATCAGAAACCAGCTTGGCAGACCTTAAGAGACTAGTTTAAAAAAAATCTCTGCATTTTGAGAATTCCCACCTATCTTTGGGCAACACTTGTAATTTATAAGTTGTCAAAACTTTTCTGAAAACGTAAGAAATCATAGCCCTCAATATTACATTCTCTACTCTTCAGTCCTTTCCACTGATTCACAATTTCGGCTAGAAGTAGGATTGACATTTACTAGATCTAGTTGAATTCTAAGACTTTTCCACATTGCTCCATTTTCTCTCTAGAGCTTACAATGGTATTTGCTTTGGTGTTCATGTCCCCAAATACTAGAAGAGACAGACTTAAACTGTTAAGTTGCAAATTTCTTCAGGTTTCTGCTTTATTATTCCCTGGTTTCAACAGGAGAAGCTGAGGGGTGTATCTTAAATAATAATTAAAAGGTGAAAGTTATGCCACTAAGTTTTGTGGTGCTCCCTCATACCAGAAAAGCTGAACTTAGTTTCTATACAATGCAAGAAAACCTAAAAGTATTTGACAACTGCAAAATACTTGGTAAGTAAATACACTGACTACTAATAAAAAACAGCTAAATATGTCATTAAAAGGCAAAAACAAAAAGATTTTTCTAACCATTTGAAAGTTACTTGAAAACAATACAACAGAGAAGAAAAACAAAAAACACTGCATGCACCTGTAACAATGTTTTTGCATTCTACTGGTACACAAATCTCTTTCCATCAAATGACACAAATTCAACTTGTACTGAAAGAAGATATTAAAATCCTTCCAATTTAGTTTTTGTGCAATATGATAAAGTTAAATTCTGTGTTCTGATCATTCTGAAGAGAAGAAGGTCTGGAGGAGGAACCAAGAGTATTATCCTAAATCCAAACTTTTACTCAGAAGGCCCCCTTTTCGGTTTGTTGGTGCATCTTGTTCACTTCTGGACAGCAGTACTCTCAGATCTATTTCAGTAGTTTGTTTTATAACCCTTTTTCCATTTGTACGTCTAGGTTCTGACGTGTCCTTTCCTAAGTCTTTCCATTTTCTTATTAAAAGTCAATTTTTTTCACATAACTCTATTTGAAAGAAAACTTTGTGTTATACCTTACAAGCCAAAAATAATTGCTTTATCGTTGTTTCCAAGGATTTCTAAATTGAAAATAACTTCAACTGAAAATAAAGATTTTTCTAGTTAAGTCAAGAGAAAAAAATGACCACCCTAGAAATAATCTGAAAATAGGATAAAATTTCCTTTTATTCAGAAGTTACATATTGTCAGTACACCCTTTTTAAATAAGTAGGATATGGGAAGAAAAAAAATACTTCTTAAGACTTTATCTGTTTTAAATGTTTGAACTTTTTCTCTTAATATGCTTGGTAAAATTAATCTTCAAAGGAAGTGAAAATCAAATCTAAATACTTCAAAACATTTTTTAAAAAATTATAAATGAGTAAAAGCATAGGACTTTGGACATACACAACCACAGTAATTAAAAAAAAAAAAAAAAAAAAAAAGCCTTTTCTTCCTCATATACACCACTAAGTTACTTCAAGTGCAATGGAAAGCTCTAGCACTTCTTCCTGGACCAGCTCACATTCACTATGAAACCCACTTATGTCTTTTTCTGACTGATCCTAAGGATTAAAGTACGTCTGTGCATTAAATCCCTGCGTATTTCGCATGAAGTAGAAACAAAGTCAAATATGTTCTAGTGCTCAATGTAAACATTTTAACTATTACTAATATTCCTTAAAGGTACTTAGGAGTGTGTGTCACATATTCAAAGTTAACCTTAGGAATAGCACCATAACCAAAAAAATAAAAATAAAAAATAAACCATAAAAATGCTTTTCTCCCGAACCCTAGTTTTCCTTTTGAAGTCGAGAAGCTACCACTATCAACCACACTTTTACAGTCATAGGCCCACTCTTACTTTTTCTCATGAAACTAAATCTGATTAAGCCAAAATATTGCATCTATACACAAAAGTCTCAGCAGTCTGGACAAAAAGAAAAATTGGTAATTGGATAACCAGTGAAACCATGACAAGTTAGTTCAGTCCAAAGAACAAGAACAGTTCTATAAATGAAGCCTAAACTGTCAAAGATTGGTTTACTAAAGGAATTTATGTACATATAAATGTATTTCATATTTATTTATGGATTTTTGGTACCTTTTTGCAGATGATGGTAACACAGAGTTATAACCCTGAGAACAGATACAAAGCAGAGAGGATTAGGAAGAAGTTAAATAAATTAATAGATAATGACAACTATCACCATTTCCTAAAAAATAGGGATGTATGTAAAAGGCATCCCATGAATTTTTTTCATGGTGAACAGTTGAGATGCCTGCTGTCCACTTAACAAAGAGCTCTGAGAAGAAAAGCATCATTGTTTGGCCACGTGGTAACAGGGCTCTCTCTAAACCACAAAATGACAGGCAGGTACCCTACCTACCTCAGTTGGAAATGTCCAAAAGCACCCTTCCCTATGTCCGGGTAGAAAGCAAAGGTTACCACCTACCATGTCATATGAAATAGATAACTCAAAGGTGGGAACACTTAGGATAGTTCTCTGACACTGATACCAGAGTCAGATGCTATTCCTACCTGCCACCTCAAGGAAACAGGAAAAAAGGGTTAACTTTGTCTGAATCTAAACACAATCAGGGCTAATAAATAACTTAATGGTGCGATACTGTAACTTACTCTTTAGCTACAAAACATGTAAACCATTTGAGGCACAAACAAGCTAGGAATAGCCACTTAAACTGTTCGGAGTAGCATAAACTATCAAGTAAAAGTACTTACTGTATCTGGCTCAAAAATAAGTGTACTATAGGTATTTGGGGTGATAAAAGCTTCATTTTAACTGGATTCCTAAATTATTTTCCCACAAAACATGACAGTTTCTTCTCACATGTAGACTAGAGGTCACTAATAAAGATATACTTCGTTGCCCCAGCAAAGAACACTTAAAATTGCACCTGGCAGCAGTAAGCAAAAACAAAGAGGTGGAAAATGACATTGAACTACTTTCCTACACAGGTAAGATCTGCAATTGCACTCTTCATAAAACTCAACCCTGTAATTTTAATACAGACGGGGGAAATCAACATACAACTTAAACACTCTTTTAGCCCTGTATACCCTATTTAACAACACACTTTCCCAAAATCTAAGGCACGCAAACTCCTCTATCTCAGAGTAAGATTATGGAAGAGCAAAATTTTGGTTAAATCACAATGAAAGTCCGGAGACTTTGGACAGAAGACAAAATGACGCAGCACCCAGTTAGTGCACAAGATGAAGGGAAATGCTACGGCTGACTGTGCTCTGGCCTTCGAGCTTTGAATGTACGTACACTCAAGCACTGAAAATAATTCACTAACACTTTATAAATTCAAGTTTATAATAAAGTCATCATGTTTCCCTTAGAAAGAAAAAGACCAATAGCATTTGGGAAGAAAACTGGAAACCATTTCAATGAAAGTGACCCAATCTGGTAAATGCAATACCCTCAAGTAGGCAGGGAAGGGGTATGGGCAGGGAGTGGTAGGAACCCTGCCCGCTAATCATGGTCACACTACCCATGATTATAATGTCAGCATGCACATAATATGTATGAAGAATCTGTAAACAGGTCATGTGAAATTGTTCTCCAAAGGGACAGGGTTTAGAAACTACCACCTCTGGATAAATTCAGAAAAAGAACTGCATGACACTTGCTACCATGAAAGTAATGCTCACTGGTTTTCATAACCAGGATGTCTAGTGTTTAACATATTTCAAACTTGCTATACGTAGTCAATACTATTAAAGTAGATCTGCCCCCAAAATGAAGCATATTTTGGCACCTGTGCTGAATGCTGCTACAAAGACCAGCAAGTGCAAATAAAAATAACAGTCATGATTTAGTCACATTCATAACTTTTCATAGAAAAATATAAATATATTCCCTGAATTGTAAGACAAAATAATTTCATCAGCCAGCTTTCACCAAATTCCAGTCCATTTTCTCTTTAAATAACTGGCATTCCCTCAAGGTCATAAGGTGCAGTCACTGAACTCTAACACATTTTCTAAGCTTCTATCGTCATCGCCATCATGGTATCTCACAGTCCTTCTACCCTGATTTCTCGTTTTTATTTTTGAACGTCGAAGAACTCTTTTAGATTTTGCATAGTCCAAATCCTCCCAGTCATTATCATCCACACTTAACCTAGGACGTTTGCTCTGTCTTCGATGCCTCACAGTGTTAGAAAGGTTAGCTGTAAAAGTTTTACCTTTTCTAACTACTCTTGCTCTCCCTTTAGCTTGCCTCCTTTTGCCTCTTGTGTTACTGGTACAGTCAGCATCTGACTCAGTTACAGATCCCAAATCTGATGGCCTGGGACTGGTGTTGAGTCCATGCTGTGAGCACCCAGGTGTTCTAGACACCTGCACGTTTTCTAATTCAGGATGCAGTCTCTTCCTTTTTATTTCCGTCTCTGTTGGTGCCTGTGAATCAGCAAGCACTTTGGCTTTGCTGAAAGGAGCCTTTCCGTATGTCCTGAGTCTTCTGCCATTCCACCTGCGGAGCCCGTAATTCAGCTCCTCTTCGAAGGTATTCTCCGCAGTAGCTTTCTGTGCCAAAGGTGACTCAGAAGAAAGTTTCCTGCTTCTCTCGCTCCCTGGAGCACGGCTTTGTGACTCTTCTTCTGAAGACCCACCGGGGCAATTCTCCGTTTTGGAAGGTACATCTGTGTTACTACTGGGAAGCCTGTTGGCACGGCCTGGATTCCAAGTGCCATCCGAGCCCGAGTCTCCGTGCAGCGGCTGGCTGGCACGCTCCGCACTGCCTGTGGAGTCAGGGGCAGGCAGCGTGCCGGCACGGGCACTCTGCTCATCTGGCACTGCCCCGTTCACATCTTCCTCACCATCGCTTGCTGGCTTCCTAGCTGTGGGACCAGCAAACTGGAGTGCTTTTTTCCGTCCACCTTTCCTCCTAGTGCACACATTTCCTAGGCTGACAGCTTCGGCATTGCTCACGAGCTTCATTTTCCTGGCAGCGGCAGCTGCACTGCTCTGAGTTACCCTTAGGCGACCTGTTGTGGCTTGTGGTGGTTTCTTGGTCACCTTTGCGTTGCTCTCTGAGTCACTGGAGCAGACCCTTTTCCTGGAAACTTTTCTGCTCTGTCTACTCTCTTGCGATGTAGAATCTAAAAATTAAAGATTATTCTTTTAATCTTTAATAAGAGTAATCTAAAGTAATTAAACATTCATTGCTTGAAACAACTTAAATAACAATTCTTATTAACTTGGAGGGCTGATGTCCTCCTAATACTTTAAAGTGACTTTTTCCACTTTCAGCACCACTCCCAAGTCCCACACATTCTCACCAGCAACATTCCAGACTCTTGAAACTGCGACATTAGCAGGAATGCAGACTAAACCCCACACACCGCTCTGAAGTGAGCAAACCAACCACTAATTTCGGTCCCCATGAAACCTACCCTAGCTCCACAAATATCATTCGTACTACTTTTAATCTTAGCTTTAGCTGCCTTCTGCTTTTCTATCAATCCCCACCTACCAGGAGCATAATAATTCAGTGGTTATGTTATCACTATGGCCTCCAGTTATTATACATAAAACAGACAATGAAGCCAGGTGTGGTGGCACAGACCTGTAATCCCACCACTCTGGGAGGCTAGGGCAAGATCTCAAGTTCAAGTTTAGCTTTGGGCCAACTTAGTGAGACTCTGTCTTAAAAAAAATTAAAAATGGACTGGGGTTGTAGCTCAATGAGAACGCCCTGGGTTTAATCCCCAGTACCACAAAAATCAAAACACAAAAGAGTATGTAATAGCACTTACCTCACAAAAGATAGACTGAACATTTTTAGATTAACAGTGTAGTGATTAAAAAAACTTCCCGACATAGCTCAGTAACGGTAATACATTATCATTATTACCAATTAAGCAAAAGTCCTACCCACTCTTCCTCTTCTCCAGCTGCCACTACCACAGCTTAGTGTGGGCTCGCCTCAGCTTTTCCCAAGCCCATCTCCAATGCAACGTCGTCTCCAATACCAGAAGTAACATCTTTAAATGGGACCACTGTGAAGGCCAGGACTACCTGACCTGAGTAAAACCTAGTGTGCAATATGTAATTATGGGTGAGGCGAAAAGAATAGGCTAACCATATACATGGAGCAGACAGAAAAGGCTAGCAAAGAAAAGAAGGAAGAGGAAATAAAATCAACATTTGCAATGAGGAAGAAAGGTCAGTGAGATTAAATCAGGAACCAAAAATGTTTTAAATTACCTTTTATAAAACTGCTTGGTTTTTCTTTTGTTTTGTCATCATCTGAATCTAAATCAGTCTCGGATACATAATCTGAGAAGCACTGAGGCCCAGCAATCGGCTCACATTTCAAGTTTCCTGCAACTGGGATCGTTTCCATTTTGTGACACGTGTCCTCACCTCTGTCTTGTTCTTCGGATTCGGACTCTTCGGAATCACTTAAGATCTTTGCTTTCTTAAAGAAATTTGCATTCTTGCAAAATGTCTTATTTCCTGGTTCAGAGTCTGCCTCCTCTGAGCCACTCTCGGCCTCAGCTTTCCTCTCCAAAGGTGAAGGGACAGCAGCTCTGTTGTGTCCATTATCTGATTCAGGACTCTTAGACTCTTCCTCTGAAGACTCTATCTTAGGGAACCTGGTTTTGGAACTTGCTGAAGCATGGGACTTACAACCATTAGAATGCCAATTTTTCCGGGCTACCTGCAGTTCACTTTCTGATTCAGAATCTCCATTTTCAGGTTCACTGCCAGTATTCTGGGGAGCGTGAGAACCAGATGCTGGCAACGGTGGAGTCTGCTCCTTTAGCTCTTCTCCCTCCGTATCTGACTTCAGGCTCTGATCATCTTCAGAATTGTGTAACAACTTTCTTCTAGCTACAGCGGAAGCATTGCGGTGAGGCAGCTTCCGACCAGAGCACACACTTTCAGAGCTAGAATTTTCTTCTACATCACTCATTAATTTTATCTTATTGGCAGCCACAGCAGCACACTTTCGTAGGACTTTTCGGCTATTACCAGCTCTGGCTTTTAGAATTTTACTGGTCTCCAGTGAATTGTTATCAGAATCACTTAAATAGATTCTCTTCCGAGTGGCTTTTCTGCCACATCCATTTTCTAAGGCAAGAGGACCTGGAAATAAAGTAGCGGTAAGATCAGAAAGGCTTTCTTATTTCAATATTCTAAATGACTTTATTTTAGTGATTTGCCTTATTTTTTAATGCTGAATTGATTTCCTTCCAAAATCTAAACAGCCTAGACCTTAGTCATGCCTGGATAACTTAAATAATCCATGCACGGTCACAGAGTCTCTTACCAGCTCTCCTCTGAGCAGCTCGAGTCCTGGTTACCCTGCGGCTGCTGCTTCTTGAGAGTCTGCCACGTGAAGGCTCTCGTGCTTGCGGACTCTCTTTGCTTTCCTCTGAACTATTGAAAGAGGAAGAGGATGAAGAGGTAGCTAAGGAATCTTCCATTTCACTTTCTAAGGAAAAGAGAAGTGTAAGTAGTTAATTACATACATTCTCCTATGTGTACACACACAAGCAAGCAGTTTTTTCATAACATTATAATAAGAAGAGATCTTTAAAATACTTAGTATGTTCTTGAAAGGGTTTCAAAAAAAGCTGATAAAATTTTGACATTAAAAGGTATATAATCAGTATTCCAAACCAAGTTTGTGCTCACATTTCTAAAAATAACATTAATTCAGGAATACATTCAGAAAATACGTTAGAAAATGATAACAAACTCCCATTTAAAACCTAACTGGCCCCATTCACATCTTCTATGATCTCACACAGGTATTTCAAAAAAGACACATTCATTTTGAGTCCTTTCATGTCACAAGGTAGTACACCAGGCTCTTTCTACGCTGTTCCGGACAGCACAGCTGTATCACACACGTGCTCAGCTCAAGAAAGGTCACTTCAAGGTGCCCTACACAGACACAGACACAGACACACACACTGGGGTGTGTAAAGAAATAACTTAAACAGCTTAGGTGATTTTCCTCACTATTCTACTACAAGTTTCCTGTTTTGTTTTTCAATTCAGACATTTCTTAAATGCCTATCATCTATTTTGATAAAAATTCCACAAACAGTGGAAACACATTGTTAAAAGACAAAATTTTGGTCCATAATTTAGTGAACTCTGTGCCAGAGAGGAAAGTGGCTGGGTGAGAAAGACAGCAAGAACCAAGTGGTGCTTCTTCCCTTGAGATTGCTACTTTCCTGCTTCAACCCCAGCACCAGCCACCTGTCCCTGCTCCCAGGCTCCTGGCTGCTGCATCTCACTGCCAAACTGCTCAGTCTTCCTGAACAGAAGACTTGAACCATCTAAACTCTTCTGCAACACTCGACATCTCCAAAATTTGGGTGCATTCTACCTGTTTGATCCTAATTCTTTCTCTCATTTACTGGAATGCATTCTTTTCCTATGCCCAACATGCACCTTTGGTTTTTTTTTTCCCTCCCTTCCTATCACTGCTTTACTAAATGCTCCCAGCTTGAGACATGAACCCTATTTCATCATTTTCAATGCCTGCACCATATTCTGATAGGACATTTCTCTCTCTACATGTACCCCTGAAGACACTGCACAATGCTAATACAGCAGGAACCAGCTTGGTGGACTTCTTACACAGCACTGTGCCATAGCTCAGTTCGATTCCACATTGTACTGCAGATGTACTGTCAACGCCACTTAATGAAACACTGGAGTAAGACATGCAGGAGGCAGTACGCTACACTCCCGAGTAACACACTGCCACAAGTCGCCAGTATGATTCAGTACGATGTGCAAGTAATCGCCACAGCGGGATCCACCACCAGTGAGTCACACTCCTCAATGGCCGGGGCATAACAACTTACAATTCACCAGCTTTGAACTTACCTGCCAGGATTTAACTTAAAGATACAAAAAGAGGTCAAATTTTGCATATGAAGTGTGGTATTTATACTGCACTGTTTAAAATCTGAAGGATTCAGAATTCTCATAAAATGCTGCCACATCGTGTGTAGAACATAGTTCATATCAAATATATTCAAACTGTCCCATATTTATTATTTCTGTCCCATCTATCAAATTGTAAGCTCCTTTATGTCAGGCTGTCTTCATCATGTTTTTCTAAAACCCCACAGTCTGGCACTCAACATAATGTTCTTCCTCTCACCAGACAGCAGAGAGTCACTTCGCAGAGTCCCAGGTCTATTTCTTCTCGCTCTCTCCGGCGACCCCGCTGAATCTGAAGAGTCCCCAGAGGTAACACCTGAAGAGACACCAGCACTCCTCTTGTGTGTTGCAGGGTGGGCCGCCCTATTTGAGGTAGACTGAGTAGGAGAATCTACCAACTCAGGAATTACTTTTGGCTGAGACTTTAACAATTTATGCTTGATATTTCTGGTCAAAGACATAAAACAAAGAAAAAACATTTAGCAGAACGTTTAGTCTGCTCAAGTACACTCTGATATTTGCAAAGTGACAAAATCATCTAGTGCCAATTTTCTCGGGATGGAACCCCACCACTGATTACTACATGACTATTGAAACAACAAAAAAGCAAGTGTGGAGTAACAGGAACTGGTGCCAACCTAAGGAAAGAATGCACAGGGTCTTTCTGAATTACTGCCAATTTTTATGCAATTCTGAACTTATCTCAAAATGAAAAGTTTTAAAAAGCCAGATGCCTGAGAGCACTGGTGCTACTGCAGCAAGAATTCAGCCCCAGCCCCAGTTTAGAAGGAAAAGCAGAGAAACAGCTCAGCACATGTGAGGCCCTGGGTTCAGTCCCTAGCACTGCAAAAACAACGAGGGGATGGGGACTAAAAGGGAGATCAAGGACATGCAATAGCCAGAAGTCTCTGAAAAGCTCCACCATTTTCCAATGGGTCTGGAGAGGCGCACGTGTATTCAAGAAGCCCCAGATAATGACTCACTGTTGGTTCAATTTAAACACTCATGTCTATAAAATATGCACAAGCAAAATGGGAATGCCTTATGTAGACCTGACTGAACCTTGAAGCTTGCCCCATTTCCCACACAGAACCCCTCAAAAGGAGTCGAAACACAAACTGTAAGGAGACTTACACAAAATGTGTAGAAAAAAATGTCGACCACTACACTGCTGACTAACCCAAGGAAAATGCCTAGGAAGTTAAGCCAAAATCAAAAGAAATTGTGAGTGGGGTGTGGGGATCGGGGAAAGGCAGACTTCTGACTTCAATGGCTGCATTCTGTAAGAAAGACACACACTACACAGATGAGTACACGCAAATCACTGAAAATAGAAACCACCACCAACTGAGGAAAAGGGATCAGAACCCCTACAGCTGCTACATACAATATGCTAGCAAAATAATGCATGCTTTCCAGAGTTGTATGTCTACAGTATGTCTACAGTTTTCAACAACAACAACAACAACAACAACAACAAATTATAAGACAAACAAGAAATGGCAGTCCACTCACAGAGGGGGAAATGCATCCAAAGGAGACCGCCTCTGACAGGACCCAGCTGTCAGACTTAGTTTAATAAATGTTGACACCTAAATCAACTATTCTAAAATTATTCAAAGAACTAAAGGAAATGTTTACAGAACTAAAGTTATAATGATGACTTATCAAATACAGAATACTGACAGATAATATGAAAACAATCCAAACAGAAACTCCAGAGTGAAATGTACAGTAACTGGGAAGAATAATCAGGCCGAGCAGCAGGCTGGGGGGCAGCTGAATCGGGGAACTGGGAGACATACCTCTAAAGATCACCCAGTCTGTGGAACAGAAATACAATGAAGAAGAATGAAGAGCACTCAGGAACCCTTGGGCATCATATTTGGTACCATTTGAAGTGGGAATCCCAAAAAAGGAAGAGAGCAAGGTGCAGAAAAAAATGTTTGAAGAAACAGTGGCTGTAAACCTCTCAAACATAATGAAAATCATTACACATCCATAAAGCTGGACTAATGCCAAGTAGAATATACTCAAAGAAATTCAAACATACAAACACTACAGTAAGTTCAAAGGTAAAGACAAATAAAATTCAATGTATACAAGGAAGGAATCTTAGCAAGATTAACATCTAACTTCTCTTAAAAAATAATAAGCTGGGCGTGGTGGCACACGCCTGTAATCCTAGCACTGGGGAGGCTGAGGCAGGAGGATCACTGTGAATTTGAGACCAGCCTGGGCTACATAGCGAGTTCTAGGTCAGTCTCAATTACATATTGAGACCCTGTCTCAAAAAACAACAACAACAACAAAATGAAGTCAGCAGGCGGTGAGATGGCACATCCAGAATGCTCATGGCTAACATGTCAATTAAGAATTCTAAACTGGGCATGGTGGTGCACACCTGTGATCCCAGCACTTGGGAGGCTGAGGCAGGAGGATTGCTGTGAGTTCGAGACCAGCCTGGGATACATAGTGAGTTCCAGATCAGTCTCAACTACATAGTGAGACTCTGTCTTAAAAAAACAAACAAACAAACAAACAAACAAACAAAAATTCTGCATGCATCAAAAATGCTCTTTGATGATGGAGGTAAATTAAGATACTGGTAGATATGCAAAGACTGAGCAAATTCATTATAACCCTCTGCATAATTAGAAATATGAAAAAAGTCCTTCAGGATGGAAAAAAAATGTTACCATAGAGTAATTCAAAACTCCACTTTTATAAGTGGGAATGTTAACTATATAAAATAAAAAGCAGCATAAATGACTTTTTTACTCTTAAAATAGACCATACAAAGATGTGACCTCCATGACAACAGCACCTGGTAGCTGTACCAGAGCAGTGTCTACATGTAGTGGGATAGCAGCAACATTATTATGAACCAGACTGTGAACTGAGAGGCGGCACAGTGCCCAGACCAACCTCAAAGAAAAGCCGTCAAGAGTACCCTGCACATCCCACACACATGGGACGAGCTCAAAGCTGCCCACTCCGACTCTCACACTGCGATGCCCCCTGGAATTGGGCGCAACAAAAGACAACAGAATTTAAAAATAAAATTACTGCTAAGAGGAATGAGCCCTTGGTTTCACACTTTTTCTATACAATCATCCTCACAAATGAAGAGGTGTTCTTAAAAAGCCCCTCCCCATAGTTAAAACACAAAGGCACACACAACAATCGTTTTACTTAAAGAGCCATCTCTTATACAAGACAGAAGAATTTACAAAATTAAAGTCAGTGCAACAGCTCTATAGTCACAAAAATGCTTTCCACTATAAAAATCTATGACTAGTCTTCTCTGAATGCACAGTATTGTAAAAAGATTGTGTGAATCCATAGTAAATAAAGACCAGTAAATGTCACAACCCTATACTAACATCACACAGAGGCTGCTATGGGTTAGGGCCAGTTTACCTCATACTTTTGTTGGTCTGAACGACACCATTACATTTTTGTCTTTGCTTGAACCTCTGGCTTCGTCGAAGTTTTTCATTGAATTTTTGACCAATTTTAAAATCAGAAGAAATTTTCTTCATTTTTTCTTCAAATAAAGCAGACAATCTCAAGGTCATACTGTAAATCTGCAAGGATGTGAAATCAAACTAGAATTACACAGTATCTTTTAAAGTATTTTTTAATTAAAATCACTGAGATTATTTGCAATGTATCACTCACTGTCTATGGATAATAGCTTACCTATTTCCATCTTACCTGTTCCAAGACAAGAGCAGGAGATGGCAGCTATGTGCGTCAGGTGGTAAGAAACTAGTTTTAAATCAAGCAACTCACTAGAGTCTAGAATCCAGGCCTTATGTCTGTACATTAATGGATCTTTTAGGTTTTTCCCCCATTTTCACATCATGCACAAACCTAAAAATGTACCCTTCTAAAACTAATTTGAAGTTGGTTGGTTTTAAGGCTGTTACTTATGCAGCAAAAGAGAGTCTCTAGAACAGAGAATAAAGACACTTTCACCTCAGTCTCTACCTGCACCTGGACTGGGACACCACCCAGCTCTCAATGGGACTCACACTTGAAGACACCCGCGAAAGACACTCCCAGAGCTGCTTCACAAAGTGGCAACAATGAGATGATTGTGTTTGAAGCAAAGAGGGTACTCCGAGGGGAATTAATGATGCGACTTTTACTGTAGTAATTTTTTAGTGTTTTTTTGGAGTTTTTTGTTTCTTTTTTGAGACAGGGTCTCACTATGTAGTTGAGACTGATCTGGAACTCACTATGTAGTCTAGGCTGGTCTCGAACTCACAGTGATCCTCCTGCCTCAGCCTCCAGAGTGCTGGGATTACAGGCGTGGGCCACCATGCCCGGCTTTTGTAATGATTTTTTAATTTAAATATTCACCATATTTCTGAATCACATCACATAGATGAATTTCACACGCACCCCTCTCAAAATGTCAAATTTATCTCATTTCATCTTTGAAATACTTTGGCAATCACTTCCAACATTTTGTAAATTTATCCTTTTCTTTTAAACCTGAATACTAGCTTATGTTGCCAACTCTAACAAGATGAATAATTTCTTGTAAATTATTTTGTTTGAAAACTCTTATTATCACCATTTTTATTCATTTTCATGCAGAATTCAGTAATGCAACTCAACTGAAAATAGTAATTAACCACAAAGAGTGCTGAAACTGACAATCATCTCAACATGACAAAGGGCATTCATGGAAACCCACAGCTCACATCACGCACAATGGATGAAATAAGTTAGGAATGAGACAGGATGCTTGCATAAGAAACAAGAAAATACAACTAAACTAGAATCCACCAAAATTCAAAACTTTAGTGAATCAAAGGATATCATCGACACAGTAAAAAGACAATCTATATCTCATGAAGGTTTAATATCCAGAACATACAGAAGAACTACACTTGCCGGGTATGGTGGTGCATGTCTGAAATTCCAGCACTCAGGAGGCTGAGGCAGGAGGACTGTCTCGAGTTCAAGGTCAGCCTGGACTACATAATGAGTTCAAGGCCAGCCTGAACGACACAGTGAGACCCTGTCTCTAAAAAAAAAAAAAAAAAAAAAAAAAAAGAACTATACTCAACGAAGAACGCAATTTTTTAAATGAGCAAAGGACTGGACCAGAAAGTTTTAAGATTTATTTAAGAAGAGCCAATAAACCATGAAAACATGCTAAACACCCTTAGAATATGGACTACAACTGACTACATTTTTCACATTTCCTTCACTGCCCCTCCCACTGCCACAGCACTGAGTTTGAACTTAAAGGCGCTCTAACAAGGAGCTACATCCCAGCCCCTTTTGTTTTTTGAGATAAGGTCTTACTAACTTGCCCAGGCTGGCCTGAACTTGTAATCCTCCTGCCTCAGCCTCCTGAGTAGCAAGAATTACAGTGTGAGTCATCATTCCTGGCTTCATTTCTGGTACTTTGAATGCTGTAGCATATGGGGCCATGATGCTGGTTGCCTCTCAGAGCTAGCTAATTCCTAGACATAGCAAACGACTTCTTGGTGATATGTATGCCAACCAATCCGAGCCCATACACCCAACCACTCCCTTTTTCAAACTCTCACACAGCTGTCAATACTGTTAACCCACCATACAGAATCCCAGAACCAGACACCAAAAAATGAGAGGCCATCTCCAACATCTCAAAGCTTGCTGACACTATTTAAACTGGTCATTCCTACAATGCCTCCTCTGCCTGCCTGTATTCCAACAGCTGCTCTCCTCCACCTGACTCTGCTCCTGCCCTGGTGCCCTTGCATGGTGTGCCAAGTCTTCTGCTTCTAGGTCAAATAACTTGCTTCTTCTTCATGACAACCTTTCCTAAGTCTGCAGGACTTAAACCTAATACAACAAATCTCTGGTATATTTATTAACACAGTAAGTCACGAGAAAAGCAAGACCACAATGAGGTAAAACCCCACTCAGGTGGCTACAATTTTAAAAAACAACAAACGCTAACTAACATGGAAATGGGAAAATGAGAACTCTTCTGATGCTAGTGGGGATGTAAGATGCTGTGGGCATTACGGAAAACACTTCACTGGTTCCTGACAGGTGACAGAACTACCCTGTACTGTTAGGTGCATACTCAAAGGACTTGACAGTATGGACTCAGTATTTGTATTTCAAAAGTCACGGTGACATTATTTACAGTGGCCAAACAGTAGAAACAATCCAACTTTCCATCAAGAGAAGAATGGATAAGACATGTTCTATCCATTTATCCATACAATGGAAAGTTACACAGCCATAAAAAAGAATGTTGTTCAGACACATTACAACGTGGATCAATGTTTAAGACACTATGTTCGGTAAAATCAGCACAACACAAAACGACAAATATAGTATTAGCTAGAAGCTTGTGTGAACATTCAGCTTAAGCAAATTTATAAAAGCAACAAGTAGACTAAAAGTTACCAAGGGAGAAGAGGATGGAGATGTTGAACTATTGTTTAATGGTGACAGAGTTTACCCTCTTGAGAGGATGAAAATGTTCTGGAGGTGGTATAACTAATTAATGTGTCTGAATTGTACATTTTAAAATGACTAAAGGGCTAGGGATTTAGCTCAGTGGTTCTGGCACCTGCCCTGCAAGGGCAAGGGCCCAAGTTCGATCCCCAGTACCCCCCCAAAATAAAATGGCTAAAATGCTACACTGTATTACATATTGAATCCTAATTTAAAATTTTTGAATATACCAACGACCACTGAACATTGTAAATGGATGAATTATATGTATGATATGCATTCCAAATATGTATTTACTAAAAAAGGAAAAAGATAAAAATGAAAACTTTATTCTCTCTCTGGAAAGAAACAGTCTTACAAACAAAATATGACAAAAATTCAAGCTTGCAAAAGTATTCGACTAACTGTAAGCTGGTCCGTCAAGCCGACAAGACATCAAATGCAGCAAGTCCCCACACCTGAGCTTGGAGGCGGCATGCAGGAGCGCTGGGCAGGAAAGTAAGGAGGGCAAGGTGCAGCACAGGTAACACACACACAGAAAACGCGGGGGAGGGTCACGCAGGTCTTTTACTTTAGATTGCACTTTATATTATTTTAATTATTCCTCACTTTCACTACAAAGGTGATGCTCATGAAAATTCACTGAGAATGTGACATAGAAACCTATGCCATTTATTACACCTTGCCAAGAACCGGAAGACTAACATGAGTGACTTAACACAAACGGACGCGCGTGCCCTGTATGTGTGCTCTTCAGCAATGACATGCTTCATGTGTCACTTCAGACCCAAACCGAGTGTGCAGTCAGCAGTCCCAACCATGCTTTAGATTTTCCTTTTATCACTTTTTTCTTTTGTGCTCCTAGGAATTGAACCCAGGGAGCACTAGGCTCTATCGTCTAGCCCTTTCTTCTGGACAGGGTCCAGCTAAATAGCTCAGGGTAGCCTCGAACTCTCCCTCTTCTTGCCTCAGTCTCCTGAGTAGCCAGGATTACAGCCTCCACCACCACGCAAAGCTGTTTTATTTTATCACTTTCAACAGTCTCATGGCTACTGACATTTCCAATACATTTTAAATAAGTTTATATGTATACACAACAGACTCTTCTATGTATTAAATTTGTTCACTTTCTACTGGCATCTTTATTCTCACCACTCTGTCAAGAAAATTTTAGGAGATGATAAACGCCAACTGCTGTAAATCAAATACTGCAGCTCTAGGCAAAGTCGCCACTCTTTACAGCGGTCTCACTTAATTCCTTTATCTTTCATGTTCCAACCTCTACCCGCAATGTAAAAAATACACGATCATACGTTTTTTACATTACCTTTGATCTTTTGTTTGGTGTATATGCTCTGGCATTGCTAAATATTAATCGGATGTCTTTGCAAAATTCCAAAGGGCTGTCATAATTTCCTGCTTCTAGAGTTTCCCTCACTGTTCCAAAATCCATCGGTGTATCTATAATATCTCGGTAGTCCTAGGTTTTTAAAATAATAACCATTAATTCATAAATGAATTTACTGCTTTCATAATTGTAAACATGTAAATAAAGTCTAAAATATCTGAAATGACAGAAGGAAGAGAAAACAAATTAGAAGGATTGTAAGGCTTCATCATAACATCTGTAAAGAGGTCCAGACACAAAGACAAAGAAGGAAGAAATGTTTTCAAAATGTTCGTGACTCCTTTTAGCAGGCACTTTTCTGTAATTTCCAAGCTTCCTACAGTAAATCTGTGCTTTTATAATCCTTTTTTCTTTCTTTTTAGATCTAATTCTATTTCCAGAGTAAAATTTTATCTTATTTTCAATTTTCCTAGTGCTAAGCCTATATACAGCTACACAAATATCACCAACACTATGTAATATTGGTTAACTAAGTCATCTTTAAATGAGCTATGAATAATCTAATCTTCTACAGTTAACTTAGTGGCGAGAAAGGAAATGCTAGCATAAGGCCTACTCTCCAAGGTTTACCTACACACTTCTACCCCAGTCTCCCTTCCCGCAATGAGACAACAGACTTACAGGGTACTCCACCAGATCCACGGGCTGTCGAAATGGCTCAGAGTCCTCACACTGGAAAATCAGGCTCACCAGCTCCTTACATTGTCTCTTCCAGCTGCTTTCAAGGTAGCTGGCAGCTCTGCTGGTATTCTTTTTTTTCCAGCCATGGGCCTAAAAATGTATTCATAATATTGAAAGTTTTTGCAGACTAGAGGAGGAAAAAGAATCACATTATGATATATGACTGCAGCAAAAATGTAACTGACACACTGTTTTCTGTATTGTGCCATAAGAACAATGGCTACTTTAAACTGTCTACTTGGAAAATTTCCTTAAAACTTCAATATGTCATACATTGCTCAACACATTTCTCCAGAAATGAAATTTTAAAACTAGCCATTTAACACATTTCTGATATAATCTCTAAAGATGAGAAAACTGTAAGATTAGTTATTCGAAAGATGTTCCAACCAGAGCAAACAGTCTAGTAAAAGGCTGCTCCTCCACCTCTCCCCCAAGCTTATAAAGCGTGTTTTCACAGAACACGGGATGTAGCTTCAATAATGCAAATAGGCAGAACAGTGGCCACACCGGCAACACCCATGGCTACTTTAGCGTCCACAGGGAAAGGTACTTCAAAGATGTAACTATGGCTGGGGCGACAAGGTGGCAGATTATCCTGGATTAACAGCACGTGCCCAGTGGAATCACAGAAGTCCTAAGAGGGAGATGAGGGCAGGGAATTTAGCTCAGTGGTGCCATCACCTGCCTTGTAAGCAAAAGGTCCTGAGTTCGATCCCCTATACCTCCCCGCAAAAAGAGGGAGATGAAGGAGGCCCTGCTGCACAAAGAAGAATGGCTATTGCCAAGCATGGAAGCATCCTGCAGAGGAAGACGGTGGGGGGAGGGGGCTGGCCCTGGAGTGTCTAGAGACCAGCCAACACCAAGATTTCAGCCCAGGAATACCCCTATCAAACTTCTTACCCATTAGAACTATAAATAACACAGCTTAAATTGTCTAAAAAGCTGCACTGACATTTGCTACAGCAAACAAATGCAGATGCTACACACGTGAGAGTCTACTCAGAATTAAATTTTAGAAAAATCAGATGAGTCCACACGTTTAAATTTCTTTAGACGCGGGGTCTCATTATATAGCTCAGGCTGGTCTCAGGATCAGTATGCAGCACAGGTCCACCTCAAAAGTGAGACTCTCCCACCTCAGCCCCGTAGGTGCAGGCATTTGGGGATGTACCACCCACCACGCCAGGCAAGGCCTAACTTCGCAGTGCTACTTGGGGCAAATATGGTGAAAGAAAACACTGGATAAAAATGCTTAAATTTAAAAAGCATTTGGATGAAATTTAAAATCAACTGAATTAAGATGTTTTAACCATTTTATGAAGTACCTCAAACTTTTAATGCACCTGAGAACTTAGGAGCCAATTAATTGTTTATGCAGCATTTAGTGATTTCTTATAAAATATTCAATATCTGTATCAATAACTCTTCACAAACAAAACATAAAATCTTAAAAGATTTGATTTTTAAACAAAGAACAAACAAAACACAACAGTCAATCATGCAGAGTAACTTACTCTCCTCCTTCCAGAGGATGTTTTAGGAACGTCACTGTCCTCCTAGGAAGAAAGTCAGAGTACTTCACTTCACTTCACCTTACTTTCTCAGGGGAATATAACAATCTTAATACAAAACATGTCAAAGACACTGAGTCCTACCAAGGTTATAACCTGTTCTTAGCAAAATATCAAAATACAGACTATCAGACAGTATCTGTGACGCCCAGACTTCAAAACATCAACTATTCCTCATAAACCTTTCCCACATTCCCTCGGGATATGCACTAATTTCAAACTTCCAAAATTCTGCTTTTATAAAGAGTTGCTTTGTGCATTATGAAATGTACACAGAAGCTCCAATTTGCATTTTTATCCCTATCCATAAAACTCCAGAAACACCTAAGTCTCCTACAATTACTGGATTTGTGTTCTATACATTTTCTTACTTCCTAATACACTTATTAGTGTGTCTATTATTATTCTGAACATTTATCACAAGTAAATAAGCAAACTACAGTAAGTATATATTTCTTGTACAGAAACCAGTGTTACATTGTCTTTTAAAGAGCACCCTTCCTACAGCACCAACCCACAAGCTGATTCTGCATGAAGAGAAATTATACACAGCACTTTGCTATTTACATCCTTCAACTTTAGTAGGATGTTGGGGAAAGGATGTCACAGACACCCTGTGGTCCAGTTCACTGATTTTTAATTATGATCACACTCAATACTTACACTCAACTTGGTCTTATCTACAATATTTCTAGTTCACTTTTTACAACATACCTTTCACTAGTAAAATTTGGAAAGAGAATATTCCATACCTGAAATGGCTCAGACATATATCAATCCCTGGCTAATATTACTTCACTGATCATCTAGATGATTCAAAAAAACACATTTTTATCAAATGCCCTATTTCCATTGCTCATTGGAATGTGGTTAAAACTGATATTGGGGTAAACAACACTTTCAACTTAATGATTTTCAAACTGTCATAGCAATTAAGAACATCATTATAAAATTGGCAAAATTCATACCAGATCCTCGGCATTTTGCTCCTCATTTTCAGATGTGTTAGACAGTTCCGAGATATTTGTGCAATCTTGATTGCTGAAAAGCAGATTTTCACACAGATAGTTTGCAGTTACTGTTGCCAAGGATTCAAACTATATTCTAAAATATAAACAGGGCCTCAACTTACAACTTACAATTAATTTCAAAAAGAATACTGCCAGGTTTTCAGACAGTCCTCTATGGAAATAACTGGCCATCTTAAAATTCTAATTTAGAATCCCAAAGGTTTTGTGCCCCCCGTTAAACATGTACAAAAAATTAAGCTGCTAACTGAGAAGTAGCATGTTCAGCCGAACATGTGGGTGACTTAGTGCTAAGCATTAGTATTCATATAGTACATACCAGGGAAAGAGCGGATTTTAAATTAAAAATTGATACAGAAGAGAAGAAAAAAAAAGGAAGCAGAAATCAAAGTAGACCTAAGTTCACTGAAGTATGGATATATAGGTATGAAAGAAACAAAACTGGGTATGGCATTTTCTGAAGTGCTTCCAGGGCAGTTAGGTAGGTTGAGTCTCCAAATCTTAGGACACAATTAACTGGGAAAAGTTGACAGGAATCTGTTATTCTCCAATTTTTGGCTAAATGTTGGCATTGTCTCTAAATTATTTTTCCATTAAAGCAATCGTTCCAAGATTTTCTACAGCTATATGAAAAGGAAATATAGGGAAGCTGTAAGGTCAGAAGGGTGCTGAAATTGAGTTTACTTGGTCCAATGTTCAAGGAATGTTCACTAAGTCATGTCAGGACAGAGTGTGGGTTTCAATTTCCACATCAGTTTGCATTGTAATATTCCCAATTCTTTTCTCAATGCAAGATAACAGATGGAATATTCATACATATAAAAACATTCTCACCGATATAGAGTCACCTTATCATGAGGAAATACAGGAAAACCCAATCTAAGTACTTTATAAAACAATTGATCAACACTCAGAAAATTGACGACATCATGAAAATAAAGGAAAGACTAAGGGACAGGCTGAAGACGACTCAGAAAACACAACACTACATGAAGCAATGGAGGTTCCAGATTGGATCCTGAAATACAAAAGTACACTGGTCCAAAACCAGTGAAATCCACACAAATCCTACATTTTACTCAATAATTGTACCAAGGTAAACTTTTAAAAACATTTTAAGTGTGTCACAGTTATGTAAAATGTTAACAAGGAGGAGACGGGATGAAGGGTATATGGCAACTCTGTAATGCAAGATTATTTCAAGATTCTTAAAACAAACAAATTAATTGTTCAATTTGATTCTTTTACTGAAATTATAATGAATAAAGAAATGTCCTCTCCAGTAAACATGAAATGAGTGTAATTCAAAGAGTACAAAATAAAAACTAGATATGTATTGTATTACTACTGGTGGTTAAATATATTGTATACAAATTTATTAAAGTCCCAGACTTGAATAAAACTCTTTATTAGTGTTTTAGTAATAATAATAATAATAATGATTTTAAAAAATAAAAACTAGGTGGTTGTATAAACACAATATGCAAAGTCATTTTTGCACAACATACATAATTCAAGATCACTTACTTAATAAATTTTAAAAGTTGGTCAGTTATCTTTTTAGCTGATCTTGCAATTACACTTTCAGGTTCATTAAATGTTCTGGCGTTATGTTCTATGTATCGGACTTCCCAAATTAATGCAGACAGCCTCCTTCAAAATAAAGTAGACAAATTTATAGCTTAGAAATAAAAAGTTAGCATCTAAATTTCAGAAGAGAAAAATTCAGCATGTTAATTAAATCACCATGGCACAGTAAATAGTAGCTCTGAAGTTAGAATGAACAACCTAACAGTATCAACTTGATCAGTCATAAAATCATATTGGAGACTCAACAGGCTACCTAATCATATACAGAAACCCAACAAAGTAACCCTTCCTTTTTCTTTTTCTTTTTTCTTTTTTTCTTTTTTTATGTTTTGGTTTTTTGAGACAGGGTCTCACTATGTAGTTGAGACTGACCCGGAACTCATTGTGTAGCCAGGCTGGTCTCAAACTCAGCGATCCTCCCACCTCAGCCTCCCAAGTGCTGGGATTACAGGTGTGAGTCACCACGCCAGGCTAACCCTTCCTTTTTCACAATGCCTATCAATTCACCTTTTAAAGATGTTCAAACTCAATGAAGAAAATGTGTTAAATAGTTATCAGCTCTAAGAGTCTGTTTCACTTGAAACTGAAAAGTGGCTTCTGATTCAAATGTCCACCGCAGTATACAGTCACACACAAATAAGTTATACCAATTATGGATTCAAGAAAGCTTCTGTATAATGGTAACTTCTCAAACTACTAAGATTTTAAAAAATAAAATACCATCAATAGCTACAGGTCCTTATGAAGGGGAAATTTTACAGCAGCCAGTTTTCTAGAAACCAAAGATAAAAAAAGTGAACATCTCTGGGGAATAATCTTTCATCAAGTATCAGAGTCCAATTATTAATTCATTAAACTGTACTTTTAAATGCAGCAGTTACAAAAGAACTTTACCAATCAAATAAAAAATATCTAGGCCCCACTCCACCGTGGGAAGGAGAGCCATGCCTGCTCCCGATCCAGCCACCATCACTCAAGCGCCAGGAAGATAGCTGCACGGTCGCCCCTGAACCCCCATAAGCCCCCCCCTCCCGCCGCACTCTCAGACCTCCTGACTGTCCCAGTCTTTGGACCCACTCTGCAGAGGCAGAGGTGGTCATCAAGGGTATTTTTCTGAGTTCCCAACTTTGAACATCTGTAAAGAAAGGGCGTGGGAAACCTGTAATAGAACGTTGTGGAGTTCAACCATTCAGAAGGTTGGGGAACTCAATCTGGGCCTTGCAGCCTGAGGTCAGTCAGCATCATGGGGTTCAGCCATCAGCTAACTGAGATCAGGGGTCTTGCATCCTCACTCTGTCTGAGCCATTAAATGGTAAATACACTATATTGAAATTTTGTTCACTGCAGACATGTTCTGGACTGCTTCTTGATTTCAATTTAATTCAAATGATTTAAGGGTGAT